GAAGACTTTGGTTCTCTACTTGCAGCTCTTCCAAGAACTAGCTGTGTGACCTTGGGCATTCACTTCCCCTCTCTGAGAATCAATTTCTTGCTTTGTAAAATGAGTGGGTTGAACTAGAGGGCCTTTTAGCTTTTTAAAAAAGACATATTTTCTCTACATTCTTTAATTTAAGGATTTTTTAAACGAAGGCAAGTACTTTTATCATCACTCAAACACTATTCAGTCAGTAATTAAAGGAGAAATCACCAGCTCATAAAAGTTAAACACCAGAACAAACCACAAAGTCCACCTGGCCCTGCAGTCTTCATCTAATCCCCTTCTGTAGCGGTAGGGGGAGGGGAGGCTGAAATCTCCCATCTCGTAAATCCCTAGATGATTCTAGCCCCCTGGGACACTAATTTTGTCCAATACAGACTAAAATAACAGGAAACCATCTCCTGGGAGCCCTAGAAGTGAAATGTATCCAAAGGTTCAGCCATGTCTTACTTAAGGTAAAACAAGCAAACTTTGCTTTCTTAGATAAATCTTCTGGAACAGGACTTGTCATAAGATACAGTAATGTTAATAAAACCATGACTTACATATGTGTCTTTTGCTCTTTCAAAGGAATTCTTCATTGAATCCTTTTCAAATGCCATTAAGAGTCACCTCCTAATTTATCTTCAGTGTCAATCCAGATTTCAAGTCAAATCCTTAAGCGTTTAAAATGCATCCACTCCAAGGCTGGGTCTATGCTAGAGGCTGTGGGAGGGAGATAGCTGGTCTCTACCCTCAATGAGCTTGCATGCTTGCTGAAGACAGAGAACATGAATTTGGGAATCAAGGGCCCAGTGGAAGGGACAACTAAGAGCTGGTGACCTGAACATGGGCTGCAGTACATCAGGCAGTCTCTACAGATGCGATGCACTTTGTGGTGGCCTTTGAAAGCCCTCTGATATGCTTACAAAAGTGAGACACCCACCATCACTTTGGCATTGAACTCCTGTTAGCTGAAAAAGTGAAGGCTGGGATACGAACAGTGAGGACAGGTCACACAAACATGGAAAGGAAAAACTCATAGACAGGAGACTGAAAAGATAAAATGTCTTGAAAGGAATGTTAATACCCAGAAGGTGCAGGAAAAGTTGCTTGAAGATAACAAGGAGGTACAGCCAGTCAAAGGTGATGCTAGAAGCAGCCCACTGCACTGGGATTGAAGTGGCAGGCCCCTCGCAAAGGGAGATTTTGCTGCAACTATTGTGCTTTCTAGAGCTGTAGGGAGTGGGAGGAGAGAAGGAAGGCTTTTTCTCTGCTGCTGTGGTAGTCATTTACAAGTCTATAAAGCTTTTTGAGGAAAAGGGCCCTATTTTATTCATTTCTGTAATCTGAAGGCTGAGCACTTTGCTTTGTCCCTAGTTCTTCCCCTAGAAATGCCTGGAGGAAAAATGACTGATTAAGCAAATGGATGAATTTAGACTGTCCTATGGGGCAGGGGGATGGAGGGGGCCCTTCCAATGGGGAGGGTGTTATAAAAATTCTCCCAGTGGCTCTGAGCTTTGGAGGTAATTGGAAGTAAGAAATATGGGCAAGAGGGCATTCTTCAGCCTTTTCTAGAACAAAGTAATTTGTGATTTTCCCACTCCCTTTCTCTCCAGCTGAGGGATCAGATTTCCCCTCATCGGGACTCTAGCCCTTACTCTCACCACCCTGAAACTGGCATTCAAAGCTCTCCACAATCTGATTTTGTATGGGTCAGGTTCAACCAGAAAAACAGACCCAGTAGGAGATGTATGTTAAGGGATTTATTGTAAGGAATTGGCTTATACCGTTTTGGGGTCTGGGTAGGCAAGTCTGAAATCCATGGGACAGGTCATCAGGAAGGACAGGCTGGAATTATCTGGCAACAGCTGAAATTGCAGTTCATAAGTGGAATTCCTTTTTCCTCAGGGAAACTTCAGTTTAGCTACTAGGGCCTTCAAACTGATTGAATCAGACCCACCCAAATTATCTAGGAAAATTTCCTCTACATAAAGACAACTATTGTGAATGTTAATCCCATCTGCAAAATACTTTCACAGTAATACCTAGATTAGTGTTTGATTTAATAACTGGGACCACAGCCTCGCCAAGCTAACACATAAAATAGACCATCATTGTCTGGTATTGCACAGTGGATTGGGCATCAGCCTGCAGACTGAAAGGTTACCGGTTGATTCCCAGCCAGGGGCATCTGCCTTGGTTGTGGGCCAGGTCCTCACTTGTGGGCATGTGAGAGGCAACCAGTCAAAGGTCTAACCTGAGCTCTCAACATCTCATCAACATACCTTCCCTCCCCCTGGGGCTTTTGTTAAAATTCTCCTTTCAGCTTTCTATCCCCAGGTTGTAGCCTTTGGTCTTACAAGGCCCATTTCCTGCAGGACTCTTCCAAATCCTCACCCTGATTGCATATCTCACACCCCACCCCTGTACTCAACCTTATTTCTTTAAGTATCTGTCTTGCCTGCTAGGGACAAAAAAATGTGCACTATTCATCCCTTCTGTGCTCACTCTCCAGAGGCCCTGACATATAGAAGGGTTTCAGCATATTTCTTTTGAATTACATCAAACTTACAGAACCTGCCCCACCATTTACATATAATTCATCCACAGTCCTTTCAGACCCTCTCATTTTAGGATCCTTATGCCTGCCCCATACACATTGTCCCTTTTCTGATGGTCTAATTTGTCCGTGTTCATCCAACCTTAAAGGTCTGAGGACATTTTTTTTTCTAAATCACTCAGGACTACCTTACTGTAGATATTGCGTAAAGCCTACCTACCCCTAAAAAGTAAGCCTCCCCCATTGGTTACCTTTCTAGAGAGAAAAAAAAAAGAACAAGGATAACAGGATTATTTGCACACACACATTTGTGAATTTATGGATCAGATTTCCTAGTGTTTGCCCTAAGGCGATGTTTAGTTTTAACATAATGAGTTGATTATTAGATAATCTAATAGCTCATTCCTTTCTCAGGCCTTTGCTTAAATATTACCTTCCCGGATAGACCTTCTCTGACTACCCTACTTAAAATTATACTCCTCCCCTCCATCACCACCCTGGCACATTATCCCACGTCCTTACCCGATTTTTATTCACAGCATTTATCACCATTTGACATATTATATATTTTATTTTATTTATGTGTTTGTTGTTTGAGAGTGTGAACTCCATGAGAAAAGGGTTTGACTGTTTACTGCTGTATTCTCCATGCCCAGAACAGGGCCTGACACATAAAAAAGCATCCAATAAATATATATTGAACAAACTAATTCCTTAGGGGAAAACACTTTATAGTCCCCTCGATTTCTACCACACTGCCTTGGATGCAATAAATCACTCAGTAAATATTTGATGAATGAACTATGATGGAAGACTACTAATCTTGCAGTTTACTTCCTTCTCCAAGTAATTCTATACACCTGGGCCTACATTAACTTTTTGAACTCGTAAAAGTATGACAAAAGGTCAAAAAGAGAGTTCCTCCATGGACATCACCGAAAATGGCAGTACAAGAAAGATAGGATACTGCTTTGAGTATTTTCTGCCTTTGCCACTTGGACAAATCCCTTCCCATCTCTGGGTCTCAGTTTTACTACATGTAAAATGAAGCAAGTAGACTAGATTATTTCTGAAGTCTCTTCTGTTTTTTTTTGGGGGGGGATGACAAAATATGTTTATTTAGGCTTGATCCCTTGATACATCTATACATGTAAAAATATATAATCTAAAGTCAAAGAAGTTATCAGGTTGGTGTCACCTTCCCTCCTCTTTGACACAGACTTCCCAGTGACCCCCTTCCCAGCTGCTCCCTTCAAAATTCTGGAGTGTTCAAGACAGGTCACTTCTTGGCAGCTTCTGCCTGAGCTGCCAAATCTGCCTCTTTCTGAGAAGCCAAGAATGTGATGCTCATAACTGAAATTGTGTAATTTTAAAGTTGTATGATTTTTTTATTCTAAAACTCTGCAATTGTACCTTTACTTTTAACCCATGGTTGGAATATACCTAATGAAAATGTGGTATAACAATAAAAGCTCTTTGGTCAAATTATCAAATATCATAAAAATAATAAAGCATGGTGTAAAAGGCCTCATTAGCAATTTGCAGATGATGATGCTGAGGCTCATGTGAGGAAAACAGGACCAAAAACCAGGTTCTTTGATTCATACAGGGCTCTTTATCTAAAGTCCAATAAATACACTTTATTTTCTCTCTTTTCCAAGAGCTAGGTAAATCAGTCCATAATTGCCCAGATATTTTGGAAAACTACTCCTTCATTTGTTTGAACATACTCCGTCACAGCGTTAGAAACAAACAAACAAAAAACCCCAGCTATTTCTTGCAGTGTCTGGATTATTCAGGTGGTGTACCCTATCACTTTCCCCTTGAGACTTGTCTTCCAAGCAAAGGCCCCACCGCCGCAATTGCAAACGGCAAACAAACCCTGTGGATGTTCCTGTGCTAGGAGTGTCTCTGTGACGGAAACGTGCTTTACTCCCGCCCCATCCTTATACAGAGATAAAAAGCATTAATGTTCAGAAACATGCAAACTCTAGTTCAGAAATCTCCCCGTCATTCTGACGAACTCTTGCTGCCATCCTGATAAACAGATTTTTTCAAAAGAAACTGTAAACCAGAGCCAGACTTACTTTCTGGTGATGAAAAGGGGGTAAAAAAAAGCGTGGTTCACTTCCCGCCTGCGGAACGATCTATCCTTACACGTCACTAGCATCTTTCTACCCCTAAACAAGCGCGCAACGTTTCGGCGCTTTTTAGCAAGCTTTCCGCTACTGTCTTGCTACAGGGGGCAGGGTTATTTCTTAGCCTCGCCCCTTTCATGGCCTCCAGCTAATACCTGAAAGTGTTGGTTGTAGGCGGAGCTCCAGTAAGAACCTGTCCCTCTCTGCCTCTCAGCTAATCGGGGCGGGTGGGGTGTGTACTTTCCTGTTGGCCCCGCCTCCAAGGCCCTGGGCAATTTAGAGCCGCGCGCCGGGTGGGAACGTAAGATGGCGGAGTAGCTAGGCGAAGCGGTTGGTACTGAATCTCTGGGCTGACTTCGGTTGGGGTCTCGGCAGCAGCAGTGATCGCTGAGCAGACAGCCTAGGGTACTTGGCCAAGATGCCAAATATCAAAATCTTTAGCGGCAGCTCCCATCAGGACTTGTCACAGAAAATTGCTGATCGCCTGGGCCTGGAGCTAGGCAAGGTGGTGACTAAGAAATTCAGCAACCAGGAGACCTGGTAAGGGCGAAGTTGGGACCCCGACTGGCCTCACCTGACCAGGCTGCTGGGGCGATACTTAGGCGGCAGGAGGAATGGGGCCGCCGCGCGAGTTCTGAGGGACGGGGTTGGGGGGAAGGGTCAGCTCTGAGGCGAGCGTGCTCCACGGGCTGTTTCCGTTATTTTACCTCTCGCGGGAGGGTCACATTGGTTCTCACCGTGTGGTGGGGTGGAGTCAAGATTAGCTACTGGGTTTGAATACTTAGGGCTGGAGGACCCAGCCCAGGGATTGTAGCTTCCCAAAGCGGAGGGGAAAGACGTTTCGCCTCGGCTGTGGAGACACGTGGCTTTGTCGTTTCGCTGTTGAGCCACACAGGCTGGACAAGTGCCTTTTCACCACTTGGACCAGCTTGAATGGGAGAACGTACTGAGCCCTTCTGGTGTTTTTTCTAGAATCTATGAAGGAGCTTTTCAATTCGAAATTGTGTTACATTACATTTGGTATTGAGGGAAATGACCATGTGCTGAGGGCGGCAAAATTGCTACTGAGGACTTAGATTGGCAAGCGTTGGCTTTTCACATCTTGAGAATCTTAGACTCGGAGCCATACTTGTGTTAGATCTAGTTGATCAGGTAAGGATTGATGCATTAATTCTGCATCCTGATTGCCAGCATCTCAGCTTGAGCCATCCAGAAAAATCTTAGGTAAACTTAATCCTGGAATTCTTTACCTTCAGCGGTGCATCTTCTGGTACAGATAATACAAAAGCTTATTTTTCAGTAGCAAAGTCTACCCTGAACTTGTCCACTTCTCGGCACTGTGGGAAATTTAGTCAACAGTTTTGAAAGTTAAGATAATTGAGGAAAGGTAATAATAAGAGTAGAAGACCTGGATCAAATAGTGCGTTGCAACTCGATTTCTTTTTTCATTGCCTTGATAATTAAACTTGTCTCCCCACCCCCGCTTCCATCCTCCTGCACCTTGAGGCCATCTTAGAGATAACTCGGTGTCTGAGCCTTTCCATACCCCTTCCACCTAAACGTAGAATCTTCTGGTTATGATGACCTACTTCGTGTTTTGTTGGTATCCTGTTGATTAGTCAGAGCAATACTCAAAACCTTACAGTCATCTGTTAGGGGAGAGTTTACACCAAACCCAATGATTAGTTAAACAACATTGCTTTGAATATGTTTTTGTAAATGCTTTTATTTCCATTTTTCTTTCTTTAAACTTATTACCAAAGTGTAATACTTTGTTATACTTTGTTTGTAGACCCTGCTGATAAAAACATGCATCTGTAATGGACAGCTTCCTTCTGAATGCTTGATTATTGTGCCACTGGTTGTAATGCAAGTGATAGTGCAAACACTGATGCCATCCGTAACCAGGCAATACCTTAGTCAAAAGAGGCTAGCCAAGCTGCTGTCTTTAGCTTTGACCACACCGTTATGACTCATGGGCTGTAATAAAGAAGACAAAACATGACCAGACTTTTTGCAAGTGGCAGTATAGCTAGGGGGACAAGAATGATTTTCATTTAGAGGTTTATTTTTTTCTTTTGGTCCCCTTATAGAACTTTGGTTATCAAATCCCTTTCCTGTGCTTGTACGAAAAATACAAAGACCTTATTTTTACTTCACCCTCTGCATAATGCAACACACCAGAACTTGAGGCTGTTTTGGGAGAGGGGTGGGGGAGAACAGCTTAGTTTTCTACTGATTGATTTATCTGAATTTATCAACAATCCCAATCTGTTTTTCTGAGATGTAAGACTGGTTTCATTTTTATTTTTAATTTTTTTTAAATTTATTTTCAGAGAGAGGGGAAGGGAGGGAGAAAGTGAGAGAAACATCTTAATGATTGCCTCTCTCACACCCCCAACTGGGGACCTGGCCTGCCACCCAGGCATGTACCCTGACCAGGAACCAGTGACCTTTTGGTTCACAGGCCAGCACTCAATCCACTGAACCACACCAGCCAGGGCCTGATTTCATTTTTAAACAACTGGACAGTAACATGTGTGGAAACATTGGATAAGATTAAGCCCAATGTGGAAAATTGCTGACTGGTTAGGTCTCTCTGTTTCTGGCTTAATCATTAGCTTTTTGGTTTCTTAGATGTTCTGAAATCCTCATTGAACATAGTCAAATATGTTTCCTATGGAGCTTCCCCCACCACCAACCTTTGACTTTTTTGCACTGCGGAGATGGTAACTGTAGTCCCATGTGACTCTTGGGATCTAAAGGCCATGGACAGGGCAGCTCAGTGGGTGCTGTGGGTCATCAGATAGGGAACTGCAGAGCCCATCCTCAAGTGAGACAGGCAGTTTTGCTATTTTCTGAGGTTTGGCGGAATCTCAAGGGTTGATGCTGTCTTGAGCAGAGTAGCTTTTCTTCTGAAGTCAGGATCATCCATTGCTGTCCAGTTATTGAAGAAATATGCATACATATAGGTGGTATATCACACACGCACAAGTAGTTAAGAGAGGTTAAAACTTAGGCCCTTGACTCGGAAAACCTGCATTTGAATCCTTAGCATTTTTTTTTTGCCTCAATAATCTGGTCTGTAAAGTAGTGTCTACCCATAGAGTTATTGTGAAGATTAAGATAGAACTGAAGTTCTTAGAACATTGTCCAATGCAATAAATGTTGGTAAGAATGGGTGGTGATAGTATTGCAGCAAATGTGAAAAATATAGAAGAGGATATGGGGTAAAAAGATATCCTCCCAAATTCCAGCACCCAAGACAAACTGTTCACATTTTGATGTATGACTTTCCAGATTTGTGTGTGTGTTTATATACTTTTTCAAAAATATAGGACACATTTATAGCTTTCTTCACTTAGCAACATATTTTGAATAGCTTTTCTCTTAATATTTAGTCTACATGGTTTTAAACAGCTTTAAACAGTATAGTTTGTCTTAGAGTTTTACCATAATTTTAGATAGACAAGTCCCTATTAGGTATTTACAAATTTGATCTAATGCTTTTAATGTGAAGACCCTTAAAGATAAATCTCTGACCATTACTGATTATTTTCTTAGGGTAAATCCCTAGAAGGGAAATTACTAGGTTAAAAGGGTATATACCATTTTAGGCTTTCAAGTAACTATTGCCAAATTGCCCTCCAGAAAAGTTGAACCAATTTCCATTCTCACCAGCAGTAATAACAATATTAATAATAATGAATATGTAGCGAATACTTAAAATGTGCTAGTTCCAATGCTAAGCTCTTTATACACATGTCATTTAATCCTCTCAATACTGCTATGAGGAGTTACTCTATCTCATCTGATTTTTAAACCTTTAATATATTAAAAATGTTGACTCAATTCTCATCAAACTTTGGTTTATTTGGTTATTCTGGATAGGCAGAGATGGGGGAATTTTTATTTTTGGTTTCCTAGGATTTTCCTAAGAACTATATACTTTAGTTAACCCCATGTATTTTGTACATGCCAATATCTCTGTCTAAATTCTTGAGGTTTTCTTAATGCCACCTGCTTTTTAGATTCACTTTATTTCCTTTTGGGGCTTCTTAACATTCTGTGCTCTTTGGATGCACCCTGTCCTTTACTGAAAGGACTGTCAGTAAAGGACAGGGTGAAGGAGAAGCTAGTTTTCTCATTGGATGGATGTAGCCAGTCGAATGGCCTCTCCAGAACTGCTGGGAGAATGATTGGCCCAAAGACATTTGGAGAACACACCATTATTAGCTAGAGGGAGAGAACAAGGCATGTCTTTTAAATTGATAAACCAGGTCTTCCCACTTGGACCCTAGAGTTGTGTACCATAGATTATGTTAAGAGCAAACAGGTTTTAGGCACAACTGTTGTACCATCCATCATTGCTTAACTTATCTCTTAGACTTAAAGGAAACCATAGTTTTGAGGATTCATTGAACTATCTGTTGACCAAACTGTATAATCTGAGTGTAGTTTATGGGCTTTGTAAGGCTTCATGAAAGTCTGTCCCCTATAATACTTATGGAGGGAAGAGATAGGTTTTCATTAGTGAAGTTAAGAATTATGCACAGTAAAACAAGCAGTGTCCTAGTTTCCTTGCACCACTTTATTTCAAATATAGTTAAATAACTTTTTCAAGTTACTAGATGCATTCGTCGTCGTAACATCCTTCTATGCATGAGTGGAAGTTTTAGTCCTTAGTTTGGCTTTGGGAAATGGCTTAACTGTTGGTTGATTATCATCAATAAAGACACAAAAATGGTACTAGGGATTGTGTTGGGTGGTGAGCTGGTGATTTTTTTTAAGAATTATTTTTCAAACCTTATGATGTTGGAATATAATTTTTAAAGAAATCACCTCTATTAAAGCTATGTATTTAGCAAATGTTCTCTGATATTTAACTTGGCAGTGATAATTTTAATACCTTACCAGTTTTCAAGAAAGGATTTGAAGGGTGTTTCATGATAGTCAACACGCAAAAGGTTCATTAAGTAGATACATCAGAAGCCTTATAGAACAAAGGACGGTAGTAATTGTGCCAAGAATCTAGTATAAAGTGATTATGGAAGTTTAGTGTTACTTTAACTATATTCCGTGGCTCGTGGTCAGCCAAAGGCATAAAGGCATATGCAATTGATTATGTAGTTTTTATTTTCATAAAAATCTTTAGATACTTCCAGGCACAAAATTCTCAGAATTATGGGTAGGATCCTTAAATAATGATACTGAGGAACATGATGGACAATATAAGCAATGTTGTGGGTATTTTTTATATTGGCTCTGATAGTTGAGACATTTATAAAGAGAGATAAGCCACCATGGTCTAAGCATGTTGTTTCCTGGTCTTGATAATAAGAAAGCTTTAGAACAGATCATTAGCCCATCCCTTATACATATTGGATGAATTGTCAAACTGCTGTTCCCTAGTTCTTAAGCAAACAACCTGACTCTGGCAAGTGACTGTCTGTAGCACGGATGTCTGTGTACTTGACGGAAACAAGAGCCACAGGCTCCCAATACCAGATGTCAAGGACACAGTTGACTTCTTATGTGAAATCAATGTGCCTGACTTTTGTTCTCCTCCAGGGAAATAGAGATATTCATCAAGGAAGTAAGGTATGGGGGATGATTGTGGATGGGATTAAAAATTTGAGTTTTGAAGTTGCTCAGATACTTGAAGTACTAGGTCAGGACCCTAGAATTGTGCAAGGGACTCTTTTAGCCTGGAACCTCTCAAAGGGCATGGAGTGTTAGTAAAGGAGATTGGAGAAGTCTGTTTAAAATACCACTGCCTCTTATTTGGGCCTAACACAATGCTCACCTTGCAGAACATGCTCACCTCCAGGAAATGTTATTTAGTCCTATTTATGTTTTTTAAAATTTTAATATATATTGTCCCAGTATAACCAAAATACTAAAATTTTAACATGTAATCAATATAAAAACTGATACATATTTTCCTTTCATATGTAATGTCTTCATAGTAAGGTGTGTATTTTACATTTATAGCACCTCTCAATTCAATTCCTCAGTCATACTAGCCACATTTCATGTTCTCAATAATCCCATGAGGTCAGTGTCTGCTCTTTTGGACAGTGCCATTCTAGGACCTACACTTTGGGAAACATGCAAGTTGCTTTTCCAGAAAGCCCTCCCTGTCTTCCTCCTGCCATCGATTTGAATTTTGAAAAATATCTTCGGTAATCAATTTTGGCATTTGGCTTAGTTGAGTTTGCTGACAGATTCAGGTGTTTCTTATGGCTGATATTAGTGGTTAATAGATATCAACTCAGCTGGGTCCACAAAAGTGCTATATTCAGTATGTTGCTCAGTGTCACTATTTCAGGATTCCACCATAAAATTCTTTATAGCTATCACATCCTGTTGGGCCCATCAAATTGTAGTTATATCTAAAATTAAGTATCAGCTGCATATCTGTAAAGTGATATGAGCAGATTTATAAAAAACTTTTGAAGAGAAATGTTGGGACCCACTTGCCTCTAGCGTGAAATGGGTTACTTTTTGAAGGACAATAAAAGTCAGTCCTTTGAAATTTCATAATCAAGCCTGCAGAAGGTTCATATTCTGTCTAAAGTGAGTGGATCCAAGAGGCAACCTAATCCTGAGAAATACTAATTCATTCATTCATTTTTTATGTCATGTTGACACTGGCTGGCTGGATATACAGATGATCATTACAGATCTGGCCCCTGCCTCTATAGAGCTTGCAATCTGGTGGAGGACACAGATAATAAAAAATTGCATAAAAGATAAGGCTGTAAGCCCTGGCTGATGTGGCTCAGTGCATTGGGTGCTGGTCTGTGAACCAAAAGGTCACCAGTTTGATTCCCAGTCAGGGCATATGCCTGCGTTGCAGGCCAGGTCTCTGGTTGGGGGCATGTGAGAGGCAACTGATCAATGTATCTCTACCATATCAGATCTCTTGCACATTGATGTTTCTCTCCCTCTCCTTCTCCCCTCCCTTCCCCTCTCTCTCAAAACAAACAAACAAACAAATAAATAAATAAATAAAATAAGGTGATAAGAAATTGTGATGATTTGTTTCTGGTTTGATGTTCTTTACCATCTGCTTTTATTTTTCTTCCTTTACTATGTAAACTAACCCCATTCTTTCTAAAAATAGGATCCTTTCCATTGTTACTGGGATTGGAAAGAAGTAAATATTAAATAGTAATTATCGCCTATATTAGCTTCTTCTGGCAATGAGATGATCTGTTGAAGTTTTTTCTTGATCAATAGGTGGTATCAACCATTCTGATTTATGCCTTGTCTACTACATATACTACACACATGCACAAATGTGCACCCATAGACACCTCCACCTAGAGGATTGATAGGGCAAATGCTGTTTTGAGGAGTTGTAAGGTTATTATTTTTGAATCATAAGTTATTTTTGGTAAGTATCCAAGTATAGATATTAATTTTTTCATTTTATGGTAAAAGATAGCCCTACCCTATAGTTAGAGTAACTTCCTGTGGAATTTTTAAAACAAGACTTACTAATTGGACCATAGTAGAGTTAGCATAGAATGAGGGTAAGAACCGCATGTGTTTTATTCTCTGTTGTGTCCCTGGCACCTTGGCACAGTGACTGACAATGGAACAGTTTATATTTGTTGAGTGAACTGGCCAATATGATAGATTTGGTACTGTTTTCTGTAGAAGGCGTCTTTGTGGAACAGCAGTTACTCAGTCCTTATGATCTTTCTACTTTTATTATACATGGATTGTGATAGTCACATGCGTTATATCAAATTTACATTCGCGAACTTCCAGTCAAGATGGTAGTGTAGGCAGACGTGGTTCACCTCTTTGCACAACCACATCAAAATTATAATAAAATATAGAACAACCATCACTCAGAACCATCAGAAATCGAGTTGAATGAAAGTCTGACAACTACAAAATAAAAGAAACCACATCCGTCCAGACTGGTAGGAGGGGCGCAGATGCAGAATAGGCGGGTCCCTCACCCAGGTGTTGTGGATAAAAATTCGGGAGTGATATCTTCGGAGAAGTCCCAGCCCTACACCAGGCCCCCTAGCTCAGGGTTCCAGTGCCAGGAAGATAAGTCCTCACAACTTCTGGCTGCAAAATCCAGCAGGGATTGATTCAATGAAAGAAACTTCTGGAGCCCCAAGCAGTTCCTCTTAAAAAACACACACAAGGACTCATCTACTGAGACTCACTCCCTCTGAGTTATAGCACCAAGGAGGCAGCTTGAAAGGCACCAGTGGTGTACAGGGAGAAACTGAAGTGTCTGTCATCAAGGTGAGAAGAGGCCACTGTCCCTTTTCTAAACCCACCGCCCACACAGCCAAAAGCTGATGCCATATCTGAGACTCCTTCAACCTGGCTTACGCTGTTTGACCCAATTTGGAGATCCCCAGAGACTTTGCCCCACCCCACTTATGGGTTTACCCCCCCCCCCATATAGAGGCCTTTCTGTATGAATGGCTGCTCTTGGCTCATGCTTCACAACTTCTTAAATCCTATCAAGCAAGCAACAGCTAGCCTCAGTGAACCCCCAGTCCCAGGACTAGCAGCAGCCAGCCTAGATTCACAGCTTGGCTTTGCCTGGGAATCACCAAGCCCAGCACAAGTAGCAGTGATCTCAGATTGCTTTATAGCTCAGGCAGGATGCCCCAGGCAAAACATGGGTGGGGGCTGACCTTGGCCTGCACCACCTGGAAAACTCCACAGCCAGCGCACCCAGTGGACAGCTACAGACCACGTTGGAGCACCGCCACCCTGCCCCTGCACAGCTTATCCTCCATGAATGGCAGAGGTTGGTGGTAAGTGGTCACAGCCAATCCTTGCATCTGACTGGCCTGGGTAAATCTCTCTCATTGACCTGCCAACAGCAGCCAAGACTCAACTACAACAGGAGGGTGTACTCACACCACACAAAAGGCATGCCTACCTAGTTTGGGTGATAGGGGAGGCTGTGCCACTGGACCCTACAGGACACCTATCACATTAAGCCCCACTACCAACACACCAACACAGGGAATCGTAACAGCTCTACCAAATACATAGAAACAAACACAGAGGGACTGCTAAAGTGAGGAGATGAAGAAGCATGGCCCAAGTGAAAGAACAGATCAAAACTCCAGAAAAAGAGCTAAACAAAATGGAGATAAGCAATCTATCAGATGCAGAATTCAAAACATTGGTTATAAGGGTGCTCACGGAACTTAGTAAGGACCTCAACAGCTTAAAAATGATCCAGTCAAAAATGAAGGATACATAAATTAAAACCAAATTTGCATTCACATGTCTTGTACCTGAAAAATTATCGTTCAGTTACTTGTGAGTACTTCAGCCAACCTTTTTCATGTCATGTCCCATGTAAAAATAGGTAATATTTGTATAGTGCACTTGAGTAAACTGAGGCAGTAAACTGCTTCTGTTACAAGGGCCCCTCCAAATGATCTCTTGAAGTTTGAGGTGATCAGTGTTCACATGCATCTGTAAACCATAATGTACTAGTAGAAAGCTAGGGTTTTTAAATCTTATTGTCTGTAGAATATGGTGCTTTAAGATCTGTTATTTTTCTTGTCCTTTCCTGGTTTTAGTGTTGAAATTGGTGAAAGTGTACGCGGAGAGGATGTCTACATTGTTCAGAGTGGCTGTGGCGAAATTAACGACAACCTAATGGAGCTTTTGATCATGATTAATGCCTGTAAGATTGCTTCAGCTAGCCGGGTTACTGCAGTCATCCCATGCTTTCCTTATGCCCGGCAGGATAAGAAGGATAAGGTAGGAGAATCTCCTTTATTAAAAATGTTTTTAGTCAAGGGAAGCATGAGCACTTCCCGAAGTCACAAAAATTTTCTTTAATCATCAGTTATATATTTAGAAGGTATTTTAAAATCACATTCTCTTAGGCATTACCTGATGTTTAAAACAATTGGCATGTGATTGGTTTGTATAAAGCAACACATTTTTAATCTCTATGTTTTATTCCAGTCATCATATGTGACTTTTGGTTAGCTCACTGCTATTATTTAATTGTATCAGTAAGACTAAGCACCAGCTCCCATGGAGTGAAATATCTTTTTAAACTACTGTCGATCCTCTGGGAGCCTTTTGGTGTTATAGTCATGCATTTTCATAAAACTTGAAGTGTGTTACATGAGTACTTGGTCTCATCTCTCTCACACTCACACACACACACCTGGCCTTATTTATCTGGTATATTAAAGAATCAGGTATATACATAAAACTTTGTAGGTCTGTTTTGTCTATTTCCAAAATTTTTTTGTAATCAGTTCCCAAAATTTTTTACATACAACACATGGGAAAAGGCCAAATATTTTTATTCCAATAGAATATTGTGCTTCTACAGAGTGTAGAGTAAAGGGCATGGACTTTGCCATTTTACAGTGCAGCAGATGTATTTACCTGTTATTTAAGGGGTTGAGGTTGCTGGAAGGTTGACCTTTAGATGAGTAAGGGAGTGGTATAATTTACAAAATAAACTATAGCATAATATGTTAGATGTTATACAGGTTTAAGTATGTATGTGTTAAGAGATTTTAATAAAACTGTTTCAAAGAACGCTAAATCTTCATAATTTAAATTGAACATTGGAAACAATTGAGTAGGCTGAAAATATGTGCATTACGAAAATGAAAGGTAGGAAGGTATTTTCTGTCATGTCATATGTATCCCAAGTTGGAAAAGTCACGTTCTACCTAATATTTGTACTAGATTGTGATCTATTCAGAGTCAGTGGAGATGTCACTTTCTTTGAATTTCCTGGTAGGAGAGTGCCTTAAATATAGTAAGTACCCAATAAATAAATACAGTAAGTACCCAATAAGTAAATAAATAAATAAATAAACGAATGAATGAATGAATGAATACTTTTTGTGCAAATGAATTGCTTCTCAAGTTGGCTTTTTTCCTCTTTATCTCCTGCATTTAGAGCCGGGCTCCAATCTCAGCCAAGCTTGTTGCAAATATGCTCTCCGTAGCAGGTGCAGATCATATTATCACCATGGACCTACATGCTTCTCAAATTCAGGTATCAACGGAGGCTAAACATTAGTTTAGGTTTTTCGGGGTTAGAAGGGGAGGAGGACTGAGAATGCTGAAGACTGCAGAGAACAAAATATTGCCCAAGTACAGCTCAAATAAATTAGACATTGACAATATTTTAAACGTCCTCACATTGAGCATAGTTCATGTTCTTAGTCACTTGGAGTCGTTGGAAAAGGAGGCAGTCGTGTATTCTGGGAAGAGTGTAGGCTTTCGGATCAGACCTAGTTTGAATACTGGCTCTGATGCTTACTACCTTTATAATGTCGGGCAGGTTAATTAATTTCTCTGAATATACACTGCTTTGCTATTGTGACTGTTAAATAATATATTAAATTCGTAGTATAATGCCTGGCTCATGACAGTTACCAAATAAATGGGAATTGTTATTGTCATTAAATTTAAAGCCACAGATACTGGAACCTACTTTCTAGCATAAACCCAGAGTAAGGGGAGCAGAGTAAGGGGACTACTTTCTGTCTACACTTCTTATTCTTTATCTGTTATTTTCTTTTTTTATACATAATCTTTATTATATTTTTTTCCATTGCTATTTAGTTCCCTTATCCCCCCCATCCACTTTTTATAGTTTTTAAAGAGACTTCCAATCATTGTAATTAGAGGCTTATGGCAATCCAATGAGGTACATAGGACAGGTGATTATACCCATTTTGTAGAAGAGGAACAACTTAGTTGAACAATGCAACTAATCTATACCAACTAATATTAGAATATAGATCTAGCTTTTAGTTATTCTGTGACAATTTATTATAAATACCTCCCACTAAGTTTATATACTACAGCATCTCTAAATGGTTTACCAGTTAGTTTTTGCTCCTTAGCGTAAAGCAGTAGATTACATTATTTTATGAGTTATGCATATTGGCATTGGCTGGGTAGTTCTGGCCTCAGCCAAACTTGGTCTTTTTTCCCAAGGGCTCACTCATGTGCCTATTACCAGTTGTAGGTTAGCTGAGGGCTGGCTTTGCCCATTGTGGCTGGGCTCTCTTGTACAGCCTGGATTTGAAGAGGCCATTTGTACAGTCTCCCTCCCACACTGGGAATACCTTCTAATCAGTCTGAATGTTGCAGTAAGGCATTCTTTTGGGTAAGTCTCTATTCTTTTTGTTAGTCATTCATAAATGAAAGAGAAGGGTATATCTTAGACTCACACAATGTTACATGTCAAATTAATTCAATAAAAGTAAATAAATAAATGGAAGAGAAGGAAAATGAAGCAAAACTGACCCAGCTCCTTCCTACAGGGCTTTTTTGATATCCCTGTGGACAATTTGTATGCAGAACCAGCTGTCCTGAAGTGGATAAAGGAGAACATCTCTGAGTGGAGGAACTGCACTATTGTCTCACCTGATGCTGGAGGAGCTAAGAGGTATGGTTGAAATTCGTATTATTCTCAATGTATTGGGGAAAAGAAAATAAAAATCAGTGCACTGGGAAAATCTTTCAGGCAGTTGTCAGAAAGTCTTTTTTTTTTTTTTTATTCAAGTGACAGTTTTTAAGTACTTTAAAATGAATGTACTGATAGCTGGGACATAGTCTAGATATAGTTTTACTCCTCTTCCTGGCCTGAGTCACTACCTGAAAGACAAAACAGCAGCAGAGAGGACTCTAAATAGTCTGGTATTGTGGGCTTGATTGTATCCCATTAGTAACTTGGCACTCGGGGCTAGCAACACTGACAGAAGCCTATTAAAAAGGGGAAGAAATACGGTTTTGTAATGAGTGGCACATGCTGTAAAGCCACATAATAATAGTGGACAAGTAAACTTTTACACACTTCTTAATGCTGTTGTTTGTTAGACCATTTTGATCCTTTGGATTAAAGTATTAAGCAGGAAGGGAAATTAAGCATGGTGATTTTATTTAAACTCAGGACCTTAACATTTTAAATAAACTGCCAGGGATTGCCAGTTGTAGTGCTTTATAGCTTACATGGTGCCAACTAAGAGCTTTTGATTTCCTTAGTGGGTCACTCATCAGTAATGCATTCAAAAGTGAGACAAATGCTCATATTGTAGAATAGAAAGAGCTACAAAACACAGATGATTAGGAAAAGCTAATTCAGAGTTCTTTAAAAGCCATTCAAATTTCCGGTGACTATTTCTCTATAAGTTCTTTATTCCAGTTACTTCAACAGCACTGATAAACTGAGAACTTAAGTTCTGTTACTCAGCCAGATGTATGTCTTTGTCAGGCTCATGTAATCGCCAGTTACCATCTGTAATACTAAAGAGAGAACCTAAAAAAATCCCCTAATAGTAGTTGTCATACTTCTCCTAACTTCTTGTACATTGTTTTCACATCTTGCCATGGGACTTAGAAAATAGTCACATTTGAAATAAATAATCACACAGGATTTTCTTTCCACAGTGGAAAGTTGCTTTTAGTATCAATAGATAACTTATTGCTACATGTTTTGTTTTGTCTTTTTGGTTTATAAATTTTCTAATAGCGAAGGAGGGTTTTCTTTTTTTTTTTCCAATTTTTTCTAATTTATTACACATCAGTTTAATCCAGAAAATGATTTTACATCATCATTTTTAACTCTACCTCATCCATGAAACTTCCTACATATAGAAAAATTACAATTGCATTCTCACATTACTAATACCTTCATTACATTTATTTTCCAGACTCGATTTTTTTTTTGGAATTTACTTTTATTTAATTGGGTATTTTTTTATTTTTAATTTTTTAATGCAATTTAATGATTTTTTGTTTTTTTGGTTTTTTATTTTTAAATCATGTTTTTTTATTACAGTTGTTTCAATTTTTCTCCCTTTACCCGACTCCACCAATCCTCCCCACCACCCCCCCCAACTCCCACAGTCAATTCCCACTCTGCTGTCCATGTCCATGGGTCATTCATACATGTTCTTTGTCTAGTCCCTTCTCCTTCTTTCCACCATTGTCCTCTTTCCCCCTCCCCTCTGGTCCTTTTCAGTCTGCTCCATGTTTCCATGCATGTGGTTTATTTTGTTCGTTAGTTTATTTTGTTGAACAGATTCCACTTATAGGTGAAATCATATGGTATTTGTCTTTCACCGGCTGGCTTATTTCACTTAGCACAATATTCTCCTGTTCCATCCATGTTGTTGCAAAAGGTAGGAATTCCTTCCTTCTTTCTTTCTTTTTTTAATTCAGATTGATTTTATTTATTTTATATAAATGTCAAGATCCATTATAAAATATTAAAAAATTTAAATCCATTATAAAGTCTCAGAAATTAAAACAAGACACCAGCACAGAAATAATTAAGTAGATCACTGAAATATAATGAGCATTCTAGAGACAAATGTATATATCTGTCTAACAATGTAATATATGATTAATTTGATATTCCAAATCAATGGGTAAAATAAGGCTTATTCAACAAATAAGGTGCAGCGACCACTATTACTTGAAATAAAACAAATATAGAGCCCTATTTCACACATTATAGAAGAAAAATTCAGGTGAGTTAAAAATCAATATATAGAATCTAAGGAGTTTTAGGAGAAAATACAAACTAATATTTTTCTTACCCTGAAATAAAATATTCAAACCCAGAAGCTATAAAGTAAAATATTGGCAATATGAGTATATTAAACATTTAAGACTATATAGTAATATACATATAAAAAAGTTAAAGGACAAGTAATAGAATAGGAAACTGTTTGCCACACATCTAAAAAAAAAGGTTTGAGTGGTTTTTGTTTTGTTTTTATTTAGGGAAAAAATTCTACAAACCCCTCTAATCAAAAAGTGGATAAAGAATACCAAAAAGTCATTTAAAGCTTTTCAAAAACAATAGAAATAGGCAAGAAATATACTAAAACAAGTTTAATTTCAACAAATAATAAATGAGCAATTAAAATAACATCATTGTCACAATCAGATTACTAAATATTTAAAATATTGGTAATATCAAATATTGGCAACTGTGAAAGGAACTGGGTATTCATAGACTCTTTTTCTTCATCTTAAAGCAGTCCCTTTAGCATATTTTGCAGTGCTGGTTTGGTCTCCACCGAACACAATCAGTGAGTTTGTTGGCTATTTTGTATGTATAGTTTGGAATGCGTGAACTAATTGATCATCCATTTGCCCTGGATAAGTAATCATTCCAAGGCTGTATTCTTTCAGCCTTCTTTTGTCTGGGAAACTCCTTATTTCACCTTCCATTTTCATTGAGAGCCTTGTTGGGTTGAGCAACCTTCGTTGCAGGCCTTTGCCTTTCATTACTTGTAATATTTCTTGCCATTCCCTTCTGGCTTTCAGTGTTTCTGTAGAGAAGTCAGCTGCTAGCCATATCGGGGCTCCCTTATATGTTACTACCTCGTTCTCCCCTGCTTCCTTTGGGATGCTCTGTTTGTCTTTGATATTTGCCATTTTAATGATGATATGTCTTGGAGTGGGCCTCATTGAGTTCTTCTGGAATGAAGCCGTCTGTGCTTCCTGGACTTGTGTGACTTTTTCTGTCCTCCAATTGGGGAAATTTTCCATCATTACTTTTTCAAACAGTTTCTCTATCCCTTCCTCCTCCTGTGAAGGAGGGTTTTCAAAGTGAGTGGCTGTCACTTCTGTGTTGGCAGGATTTTTGGAGTAGGGAAAGATCCCTGTGTAGTTATGACTTGCACATAGTTCTCCGCTCCAAGGGCATAGGGAGTGACTCTTTCTAGCCCTTTATGCTGTATTAATCACTGAGTTTGTTGGCTATTTTGTATGGGTAGTTTGGAATGCTTGAACTAATTGATCATCCATCCATTTGCCCTGGATAAGTAATCATTCCAAGCAGATTGGTTAGTTTTGATGTTCTGTGCCCATGCAGTGATAATAAAAAGAACACAGGGTGTGGTTCATTTATATCAGGGTACAAATATTGCCTAGCTGTGGCTCAAACCTTGTATATTCTCTGTTGTATGGAGACAAATTCTCCCATAGCTAGTACAAACTCATACATGACCATCGTCACAAGGGAAACAGAACATAATACTCTGGTTGGATCAGTACATTCAAAAAAAATAAAAGCACAAGCCTCATCACTTGTGATGGGGATGGCACAGTAGAGCATGGGTATACTGCCACTGGGGCAGCACACTGTCATTTACACTGAATGGATTTCTATTTGAGTGAATGATATGGTACTTTTCACCAGGCAGACTTGTCTTCCATCCCATGTTTTAGTCTGCTTTTTATTGTATTGCAATTAAAAAACAAAAAGAATCCTGTTTTGATTTGGAGATACTTTGGCTGTACAGCAGGGTGACCAGTTTGCCTGGTTAATAAGTTTGTAACTTTCTTTCTAGTAGTCCTTAAGGAACTCCCAAGCTTGGTTTCCAGGTAGAATTGACATTGACAGTTTGTGGATCACTGAGGGGAGTGTGATGAGGGCACGGACATTGGAATAGGCTGAGTATTGCTATCCTCCAGCTACGTTCAGGTTCATTTCTCACCACATCCACATGTCAAATTTGGATAGTCTGCACTCCTGGCTTAGTTAACCACGTCTTCTCTCTCCCCTTCTGCTTCTGATCCATTAAATAAATGTGCCTTAGCATTACACCACTTCCTGGAACTGGTGAGGACATCTCTCTAGCCCCTACTGTAACCCAGAATGCATTTAAGGTTGACTGATACATTTATAAACTACTCTCAAGATTGGGAGGCATTAGTTTATAAAACCCAGTTTGTGATGTCAATAATTTAATTGCCTTCTTCCAGCCCTGGGAACTATTTAGTTTCAAGGTGTATTCTCCCCCAGAAAACAAGCCCATTCTTTAGTCCATTTGTTTTTGTCTTAAGAGCCACACATACCCAGGTTTCAACTGGAAATACTCTGTTTTGCAGAGTTACCTCTATTGCAGACCGGTTGAATGTTGACTTTGCCTTGATTCACAAAGAACGGAAGAAGGCCAATGAAGTGGACCGCATGGTGCTGGTGGGAGATGTGAAGGATCGTGTGGCCATTCTAGTGGATGACATGGCTGACACTTGTGGCACAATCTGCCATGCAGCTGACAAGTGAGTGCCGAGTGGTAGGGTCTGTGGTTAGAAGTAAAAAGCTGACTGTTACCTGAATGCCTTAAGCCTGCTGATTCTTTTTTGGAACTGAATGGAGGGATGATGATTAGCTTTGGAAGTTTTTCCTCACCCAAGACTTGAAATTCAATATGTTTAAGTTGATGATTACTCTTCCCCCTCCTACTGCCGCCCCCCAGATTTCCTTAGTGTTTTTTTTTATTGTGCTAAATTATATAACATAACATTGGCCATTTTAAGTGTACAATTCCATGGTATTAGCTACATTCATATATATGTAGTGTATATATTTCTGCTATTTTCTATGTAGTGCATACAAAATACTGTATGTAGTGCATAGATCATATATAGTGTGCAACTATTACCACTATATTTCCAAAATTTTGCCATTGCTCTGAATATGTTTGATTGTTTTTTGTTTGTTTGTTTGTATGTTTGTTTTAGTGAGTTGAAGTGGAGACCCATAGGCCTGAGAAGGCAGAAATATATTCTCATATTTATATTTTATATAAGTCGGAAACCCTTGTCTTACCTCTTGATTGTCCATTTTAGTTGCTACTACCTTCATTCATATTACTTCTCATCTCTTGCCTGTTCTAAATCACCTTCCCTCTGCTACCAGTCACCAGTCTCCTACTTCCCCAGTCCATCTTTCACATTGCCTTCCTACTTGCTAATCTTCCTAAAACCAAGGTTTGATACCACCACTCCTCCCATTTAAAACTTTAAATGGCTCCTCATTGTGTACAGTCCAAGCCACTATGGATAGCATTGTCTGTCATAACTTTTTGTAAATTCTGAATGTGCCTTGCACAGGGCCTGGTATATAATGGGTGCTAAAATAATATTTGTGTGCTAGATGAGTCCTGATTTTGATCTTGGAGTGTATATTTATGAATTTCCTTTTTTCTCTTTGTATTAGTAAGGTAATGCTAAATTGCTATAATAGATCAATCCCCTGAAATGTCGGTGGCTTAACATGATAAAATTTCTTTCTCATTCCTGGCATATTCCAATGTGAGTATTCCTCTTTCAATCATGTGGCGCTGCGTCTTTAACGTGTAGCTTCTAAGATTACTTTGAAAGACATTTCCATTTTGGCCAGCCAGAAAGGGAAAAGAACATGGAAGATTGATTACCCATAGAAGATTTTTTTTTCAATACTCACCCAAGGATATGTTTTATTGATTTGAGAGAGAGAGAGAGAGAGAGAGAGAAACACATTGATATCAGAAGAAAACATTAATCAGTTGCCTTCTGTATATACCCTGAACAGGGATTGAACCTGCAAGCTTTTGGTGTATGGGGTGATGCTCCAACCAACTGAGCACCCGGTCAGGGCTACCCATGGAAGATTTTTATAAGCTCAGCCAAGAAGTGCTGTACATTGTAGCTGCCCACATTTTGATAGCCAGAATTAAAGTCACATGGCCACACCTAACTATACAAGGCTGGGAAATGTAGTCCAGCTGTGTGCCCAGAAAGATGAGGTGAGGGATCTTGCTGACTGCAGCATTCTGCCACAGTCCTTTTATTTGAATCCAGACCTATTCAGATAAGTTCTTAGTCTGGTTCTCTCCCCTTGATAAGGACTGAATTGTGGCCCCCTAAAATTTTGTGCATTAAAACCCTAACCCCCAGTGTGATGGCATTTGGAGATGGGACCTTTAGGAGGTGTTTAGGTTTAGATGAAATCATGAGGTAGGGTCTTTATTATTGGATTAGTGCCTGTCTTATAAGAAGAGACCAGAGAGCTTGCTCCCTCCTCCATGTATGTGGAGGTCAAAAAAGTCAGAGGTCATGTGAACACTCAGCAAGATGGCAGCCACAATAAACTAAGAGAACAGGCCTCAGAATGAAACCTGCCTTGCTACCACCTTGATCTTAGACTTTGTAGCCCCCAGAACTATGAGAAATAAAATTCTGTTTAAGCCATCCAGTCTGGTATGGCACCCAAACTGACAATAATATACTTCTTCCTAAGTCAGGTACTACAGTGACAAGTAAGATTAATCAAAATCACCTCTACTTTTTCCTGTAGACTTCTTTCAGCTGGAGCCACCAGAGTTTATGCTATCTTGACTCATGGGATTTTTTCTGGCCCAGCCATTTCTCGCATCAACAATGCATGCTTTGAAGCAGTAGTAGTCACCAATACCATACCTCAAGAGGATAAGATGAAGCATTGCTCCAAAATACAGGTGAGGATGAGATTCTTGAAAATAAAGTTCCACTAAGTATTCAGGAGGTGGTTATATATGTTGAATTTACTAGAAGGTTTCCTCCTTTGCACTCAAGGGCTTAGTCTGTCATCAGGATCTGTGACCCAAAAATTAAAAATCACATGTTTAAAAACTCAGATTCCTTAACCTCAGAATCTCTGGAGGATGGATCCGGGGACTCTACATTTTAACAGGCTCTCAGGGTGATCATGATGCTCACTGAAGTTTGCAAGTCTGTGTTTTATAATTTGTGTGTGTGTGTCACTCTTAACTATTGGTTCCTCCAGACATAATGTAAAACCTTTAAACTGATGGTATATTCCTTAGAATTCCAGTGTTTCTCAAAGTTGCTCTGGAATCAAACTAAGTTAATTACCTAGTGTTCTTGTTACAATGCAGATTCCTTTGCTCCATCCAAGACCTACAAAACCAGAGGTACTGGGACCACTACTTTCAAGTAATTACGCAAGTAATTGTTAAGCACTCAAGTTTGAATGCTGTTGCACTAAAAGAGAAGGCCTTTGCTTAATTTAAAATGTATACAGTAATCCATTACCTTTCTGAAATATGTAGAATTGGAGGGTTGACATTATTCTTAAGGGGTTTTGTTCAGCTTAAATATTCATTCCTGAAAACAAATTTAAATGTCATCCCATTGCCGTCTTGGTGAATCTGAGTCAGAAATTTTCCTCGATAAGCATTTTAACTCTGTACTATATGGTTATATTAAAAATGTTATGAAGAATAGCTGGGTGCAGGCTCACGAGAGGAAACAACACAGTGCAGCAATGTTAAGAGGAAGGACTCTCATTAGGATGCTCATCAGCGTCTGCAGATTGGCCAGTCATCTCTGTCTACAGGATACTAACCTGGTGGTTTTCATATTTTCCTAGGTGATCGACATCTCCATGATCCTTGCAGAAGCCATCAGGAGAACTCACAATGGGGAATCTGTTTCCTACCTGTTTAGCCATGTCCCTTTATAATAGAATAACTTCTGAGGCTTTTAAAAAATAAAGTGAACCCCGACCCTTGTTTTCCCTTGGTGTTCAATGAAAAATTCAGCAGAAGACCCAACTTGCTCCAGTAGCCATCTATATCTCATGCCAGGTATATTAATGTTTCTCCAAAATTAGAGAAAGACAGATGAAGACGAACTGCTTGGATTTCCTACCTGCATTGTCTCATTCTGGCTGCTTCGATTTTGTGAGCCTTGCAGCTTTCACTATCGCTCAGCTGCTGCAGAATTTCAGACTTTTAAGGGTGTTGCGTGGGGGTGTTTATGTGATTGGGGAGGCTCAGACTACTTTCATGTGAATGCTTCAGGGTTTCCTTGGTTCAGAACTACTAGCAAAGCCAGCCCAATCCCCCACCCCTGTAACATGTGACATGTTTTCTAAGGTCTATACTAAAGTATAATAAGAGCCCTAGACAGGCCAGAATCCAGCTCTCAGGTGGGGGCCTGAGGGCAGGCAGCGCACAACTCAGCAGATGCTTCTTGGGAGGAAGAAAGCTTGATACATCACCCTCTGCTAGGGAACTGTTGCTTAGTCTCTTTTTGTACCTGTTCCTTTTTCATTTGGTTTGACCAATCATCTTGAACTTTTCCTGGCCAAATACCTTCTTGGGCCCAAATCATCATCATACCATAGTCTTCTGGAATGCAAACCTCACTTTTTGCTATGTATTGTTTAACATTTACATGAGATTATTTTGCTGTGGCTTAATCCTCCTTAGCTTACTTCCACCATGGCAGAGGGTTCTAGGTGGTGGTGTAATACCTTTTAATTAATTTAAGTATTTAATTTTTACCTTCTTCCCTTGGATCTTTTGGCCTCTCAAATGACTTGAGCTTTCTGTTAAAAAGATTGATGTTACTAGCTCTTGTAGAGGAAACTAATAAAAGTATCTGTGTGTGTGATTGTGGGTTTATATCATATCTGTACTGCTTTCTCTGCCAAAGGTTTGGTTTAAGTGCCTTGCTGCCCAATGGTAGTTCTTACTCTTTGTTTCTAAGTTATTAGCTGCATTGTTAAGCCAAGAGGAAACATTGGCAACAGTTTTATTCAACTGTAAGTCCTTAGGATGTCTCGAGTTTATGTAGAACAACATATATATAGTAATTCTGTCCATTATACCTCAATTGTAGGATGTATGATGCCTGCTGGATCTAGATAGTATTAGGTCTTACAGGAAGAGAAAAGATTCTGTAATTTATTCATTTTGAACCAATTTTGCCAAATGTAAATTTTTCTACATCAATAGTTGGCACACATCTGGTATTTAATTTCAGCCCTTCTAAATAAAAACTATTTGGGGAAGGTAAATGTGCAAAAATTAAGAATGAATTATAATACATTCCAAAATTTTAAGTGAGTTTCTTTGTATATCATCGACTATAGACATTCTTTTATTTGGGGAAGCTACATGCTTTTGGAACTTTATGAAAAGTGTTCACTTATCCTGGTTATGGTTTTGTTTCCTTTGTATTTGATTTATGTTGATTATTGGGATACTTATTTAACAATTAGCCTTTTGAAAAAAGTGATTCGGGAGGGAGCAAAGTGAGCTATGACTCTCTAGCCCTCTTTTCACCCAGAATTTCACTCTGGGAGAAGCTGATGTGGAGCATTGATGCCATAAGTTACTGATTATACTATTTCCTAAAGTATTGGATCAGTTTGGTCAAAATTTGGCCATGCCAATATTTTGAAATAAAGCCTCTACTATGGGTACCCCTGGGTAATCCAGGTCCTTGGATGAGGTTTTGAGGTCATTCAAGAAAGGCTCTCCATCCCCATCTTTGATGCCTATGCCTGGGGGAAGGTCGGTGATATTCAATTTCCTGTGACACTCAGCAAAGTTCCCTAATCACCTCCAAGGCCATTCTTATTTTATCCAGTGGGAGAGACCCAAGTGTCCTGCATGACAAGTGATTCTTCACCGGAGAACAGGAATGGACCTGTTGGCCTGTGAGGAGGCATCACCAAAGCTGAAGGGAGCTGGCAGTGAGAGCATGGTTGAAACGGCTTGGGAGAGCTATATGATTGTTTCTGAGCAAACAGCATCAACAAGTTGTATTTCACATTCCTTCATCTCCTCCCACCTTCAAAACTAGAGAGGTTAGACCAAGGCTAAGCTCATCAAGTCTCTAAGCCAATGCCTTAAGAGATTTATTTCATCTCAAATTGAGTCTCTTAGTCTTTTCCAGATTTGGAATAGAAGCATTTTCTGCTAAAGGGTTCATTTAACTTGCCCACTTATTTTATGTAGTCCTTAACCCAAGAGTTATCAGAATCATGAAAAGCATGAAATTTCGTCAAGAAAGCATTGTTTCTCCCATTGACCTGCCCTCTCACCATCTGATTAGCTCTTGATTGTAGGGGAAAGAAGAGAGGGCTCAGGAAAGGAGTCTTTGGTGGCACCTACCCCACAAACTCATAAAGTGAGAGTGAAGGAAGAAAGCTGTACTACTGCCCACAGCCCACCCCTAAGACTAGAGATTATTGAGGGAGTAAGTGCCCTATTTGTGAAAAAAAAGCCCTTTCAGTCAGGAAATGGAGCCAGCCTCTGACCCTTTTTTCAGTCTGAACCTCCAGCCTTTTAGCCAGATGCTTCTTCAGTTGATTGGCTTCTGGAGCCCAGAGGCCTGGGTTCCACTGCCTGTTGTGTGCCCTTGTGGTACCTTTGTAGAGGATTTGCTTTTATTACCCATGACAAGGCCTTTTGCATCCAGTGCAAAATAGGACTAAAACAGGCTCTGTTATAGCAGGGTCATGTGTCTTTGGAGTCCTCAATATCATGTGGTAACTGAGGTTACCAGGGTCATCTATAGAGTCCTCTTCATAGCTACAAATGAGAGAAGGGAGGATTAGAATGAATACAACCATGGGTGGGGACACACACTACAGTTAATTCACACTTCATTTCCAGACTAAGGATTGACCAATCATGTCCCTATTAGTCATTTGCAGCCTTTTGCAGGTGATTATTCAAAAACATGCTTGTCAGTGTCCTACCCATCAGAACCATTCACTGGCCCCTGGACACTGCTGCTTGAAACAGACTTTTGTCATGACAGTCATAGTTTAAAGGCAAAGGATACTAGAGCTAAAGTTTTTTTTCCCTCCTCCTTTACTTTCCTGCTATGTTTAGGTACTGTTTTTCCCTTGTAGAACTTTTTCACCAGTCTGAGACTCCCTGTATAATAATGAAACAAATTCCACTCCAAATTATGATGCATAAAGCTCAATGTTTCATAGAGCCTTGGTTCAAGCATTTCTTCTAAATCATCTTTTCCAAAGTGTATGTCTTTGTGGGACAACTGCAGGGGAGCTAAGATGTTAATGGGCATATTCAGATCCCTTGTACAAACGTGTACTAAACGTGTATGTTAGGATCACACCTTGCCATTGGTTCTCAGGTTGCTCTTTCTGGGAATCTTTCTGCTGGGGTGGGTGATGTCAGCTGCCTCAGAGGACATGCTGTTTAAAAAAAAAAAAAACCTCTGTGTAAAAAATCTGTTACTTTAGGGATAAGATTAAATATAAGGGTAGATGTTAAATCAGAAGTAAGGCCAGATAACTAGTTGCCAAATCTGAAGAAAATTGTAGTGGAAAGTTTCTGAGAGTTTCTCATAAGTCTGATAAAAAGGAAAGTGACTTGCAGTCAAGTTGTGTATATTTGGTTGGAGGAGAGGGGTTATCGTTTGCAAAATCAAAGGGGTTAAGGGATATAGGATGTAATACGAAGAAGCTATGGTCTTTTCCTTCAAGCTTCAGGAAGTTAATCTGACCTAGAAGACGTTTAGTAATGGTTGTTCAGTTGCTGCTCCACATGGCCTCCAAGATTGCAAAGTGCAGGGCTTACAGGGGATGGACAGATTCCTACGGCCCCACACTTCCTGAGACTGCTTTTCTGTCTCAACACTGCTGGCCATGAAGATAACTTCCTGACTACCACCTTCCATTCCCTTCTTCCCCACTGTTCTGTTCTGAAACCTGGATGCCCTTAGCCTTTGATGTTCCTAAGTAGATGTTGTCATGAAGCTTCTCAGGCTCCCTGTTCTCACGGAAGATGTTCCCTTGGGTGTTTTCTTCTGGAGTGAAAGGGAAGGAGAAACAAAGGGTCAGGGTAGATTTTTCCATCCCATCTCTTGGTAACCTTACCAGCCCCAGAGCCTCAGAAGTCTGGCTGGCTCCTTGATCTTGATGAGTCCATGTGGATGTGATCCTCTTTATTGTTGGCCTGTTGTTCACTCCATGAGAGTCTGCTGTCCCTGCCTCATGCCCTAAGGGAAACCAGAGGATTTCCACTGGTCACCTGAGTCAAACTCTTCCATCTTTTTCCTTTCCCAAGCTCTTTTCCCCAATATATTTTCTCCAATAATCCAGTTAGCAACTATAAAATTAAATATGGAGGAAGAGGGAGCTCATTGTGAAGCAAAAATATCTGAAATTCTGCAGTGTGACAACACACCTTATTCCCAATCCCATTTGCCTTGTTTTGTTTTTTCAATTGGCTCAATTTTTATATTCAAGTTTCCTTAGCCACACTGAGGTGTTCACTTACTGTAGCACCTTGGTCTTTTTACTTCACCCATGTAGTTCCATGAGCTCACTCACATGTAGTTTTGATTCAGGGTTTGAATATAAAACCAAATAGGGCAGCCAGGCTTCATCAATTCATTTTGCTTGGGCAATATAGTGAATGGAGGTTTTTGGCCTCCGGCATATAAATTAGCCTGGAAGCACACCATTCAACTTTAGTCATCACCCTCAAAGTTCAAGGGGTAGGGCCTCTGATGACACTGTGTGTAGGGACTTTGAAGTGTGGGAGAGCCTGTAGCAAGGCAGGGGAGGAGCATCCAGGGAAGGGCTGCCCAGCAGTTGAAGCGTGGCTGAGGACACTCCCCTGTAGTCCCTTTCTTGCATCCACGCTCTACCCCATGGGGCCTGTTACTACTGCCCAGCCACCCCTAGGGAAAGCCAAGCAGAGAGTGGAGGGCTGGAACATCTGGGGAAAATGACTTGAGGCTTGGGGAGTGGCATGACTGGCAGCTTCAGCACCTGTCAGTCCTTCAGGTCCCCTCTTCCCTTTATGTGTGCCACTAGCAGCCAGGGTAACAAAACAGTGGTCAACTCCCACTCATTTAGCAGAGGGAAAGTGCAAAAAGTGTAAGTGTATAATTTGAGGTACTCTTATCTAGAAGGGGATCAGGATATTACATCTTGCTGTGATAAGGACTATGATGAGGGAAAAGCAAGGGTCTGATGGGAGCACATTAAGCCAATGTTGGGAATCATGAAAGGCTTCTTGGAGAAAATTATTTTTACTCTTTCAGCAGTTTATTAGAAGTTAGCCAAAGATGGAGTGGGGAGAAGGGTGTTTCAGGCAAACAGAATAGCATGTGCCTACCTGGACAACCAAAAGAATGTGGCTAGTGTGTGTGTATATATGTGTAGGGGGTGCATAGGATGAGCTGTGATGAGGAATGGGGCTAGTGTGACCAGATTAGGAAGGATCTTATAAGTAGAGTGACTATGCATGTAATATCCCAGCACACTTACTAATAGCACCCCCTTTCACTCTCAAAAGTATCCTAGTTTGGGTTGTATGGTAACCCTATCATGGTAACTCTACTTACAAGACATACTAAGGAGTTTGAATGTTATCATTGTAGCAAAGAGGAGCTGGTGAGGATGTTAAGCAGGGCACTGACAGGATCAGATTCACACAGTTAAAATAATAGACTAGCAATAATGTGAAGCATGGCTTGGGTGGGGGCAAGAGTAAAGGAAGGGAGACCTGTTAGTAAGCCATGCAGTTGTCCAAGAGTGAGATGAGGATGGCCAAGGCAAGAGAAGTGCTGGTGAAGGAACCAATATGCAATATATTTTGGAGGAAAATGCAACAAAACTTGGCGATGTCTTGACATAGGGATTGAGGGAGAAGGCAGAGTACAAAACAACTTCCATTTTTCTGGCCTGACTGCCTGATGGGTGCTGGCTGGTACTGTGGAAAATTAGGGATGATGCTCAAGTTCAGTTGAGATACTACTAAATTTAAGTTGTCTAAGGGACCTCACCAGGAGGACTTAACTAGGAGCCATTGCAGCCAATGGAGAAATTGAGGTCACCAGTACATTTTTGCAAATATACTCTCTCCAGATAGTCATGAAGCAGTGGAGCTATAAACTAGGCCCACCTTATGTACCCTGGATGTTTGAATGCAAAGGCAAGGAAGCAAGAGAGATTATGGAATGGGAGTAAAATGTAGGGAAGAAGAAAGAAAGGTAAAAAGGGTTTTAAATGCACAAGATGAAAAT